GAGCTTAGTGGCCTGCCCCTGGAGACAGGGCACTATTCCTTGAAAAGCCCTTTCAGAAGACTGAGAGCCTGGCCTAGGAAAGAGAGCCCCATGAAAGACAACAGAAATGTGCCCCTCTTTGACAACAGAAGACCAACTTCTCTGGGTTTTGGTCTAAACTGAAGGCTTTACAGAGAAGTTGGGATCTTATATCCCAGAAGAGACCTAAAAAAGCAACAGAGGATGAAGGTGGATGCTCTAACCTTCTAGAATTATAGAGATGAGCACTGAGGGGTATGCTTTGAGAGAATATTGGTGATCTTATTGATATAGTGCAGTACAGGTGGGTGTCAGTTATCAAGTAAGTTTGGGATACTTCGTAACTAAACCTTAGAAGAGTGCCTGTAGACAACAGTGGTTACAAATACTAGTTATGGATTAGACAGACCTGAGTATGAATCCCAAGACTATCATCTCTAGCTGAGGAAACGGGAAAATTACTGGATACCTCTGAGCCTCAGTTTTCCCATCTGTAAAGTGAGGGAAATAAGAATACCTACCACAGGGGGTTGTTGTGAGTATAAAATAATATGCACTTAGCATGGTGCCAGGACAAGAAATTATAGCTGTTGCTATTATTGGCAAAATAAAGGCTCTCAAAGGTCCTATGGTAAAAAAAATTTAACAAAATCTGATTTTGTTTTGACACATGCTTTTCAGACTTATGTGAGTATTAAACAGTTTTCATTTTTTACGCTTACAGAGGAACTTGCATACACAGAGCAAGCACTGAAAGGTACTCCAATGGAAGAGGCAGCAATGAGGACTATTAGAATGGAGACAAATGTCTTAACTAACTTATACTTGGTGTCCTCTTTCAAAGCAAATGAAAAACAAATAGCACATGGCACCCCAGGAAGGTGCCTAAACCAAACCCACAGGCATGGGAGGGCCTTGCTAGGCAAAGGTGTGCGCCAGTGGGATAAACAACATGGAAGAAGATGCTTAAGAAAAATATTGATCTTTCTTTGGTATGCATGGCAGGTTTTCCCATCTTTTCATAGTGAGAAATCACAAAATAAAGCTTCAAATAAGAAAACAATAAAAACTCAGATTCAGTGCCAACATTTGCATACATTATTCTAAAACTTATGCTTCTGATGGCCTTTCCCATCATCACCTGTCACCACACTTAGAGTTGACAGGATAGGCTGATGAGCATGTCAAAATGAAACCAGAGACCACTTTGTCTTTAGTGGCAGCTTGATTAGGTTGGGGATGTAGTGAGGTATCTTCTTTTTGCTGTCCCCTAAAATCTCATTTTCTAACTTTGTTTTTCTGAAATAAATTAGAGGGGCTAACATGGTTCTCCTCTCACACAGAAAGAAAGAAAAAGAGAAAAGAGGAAAAAAAACACCCCACATTGATTTACAAAAACTAGGGCTCTTGGGAAAAATAAATTAATTAACTTGATCTGGGGAATCCTTTAAAAAATATATATATATATCTTGAATCATCACGCTGTGTACTTTAAATAGCTTACAATTTTATTTGTTAATTATACCTCAATAAAGCTGAAAACAAAACAAACTAAAAACAAAACAAAATAAAACTAGGGCCGTTGTGGAGACATCTGACGAGGAAATCAGACATTTAACATAAAACTTACTGGCTATGAAATCTGTCTTTCTAGAACTTTCCTGAATTCCAAACAATGACATCATAGCTTTGCTGAAAAACGTACACTCCCTAATTGCAGGGTGGGAGGCTGGGCAGAACACATCCACAGACTTGCACTATGACTGCGAGCATTCGATGGACTAGGACATGCCACGGGGCCACAGGACACCCGAACCAGAGGAGGGATGACGGAAGCTCTATAGGCAACTGCCAGGAAGGAAGGTGTTGCTCAGTCTGCAGCAGCCATGGCCATTCCCAGTCACATGAAGCACACTCAAACAGTAAGACGTACCACTGGTGGTCCCTGTACCACTGCCCGAGCCAGGTCCGGGGGACGAAACCACAGTTCTGTAGGTGGGTGGTGGTGGGGGAGGCGGAGTTGCTCTCTGTCCCAACCCAAAATCTTTAGGAGATGAGATTGTTTCTAAGTAATCATCTTTAATGAAGCTCTGCTCAGCGACTTTCTTCTGGACTTCTTCTAAATTGAGCGGCGATGGTACATTTCGAGGAGGCCCAGGGGGCCCTGGAGGGCCTGGGGGGCCTGGGGGGCCTGGAGGACTTGGGGAGCCCAGAACTGGGGAGTCATCTGGGTTGTCTGATGCAGCTGGTGGGGATACCACCTTTTCCCTTGGAGTCAACTCTGGAGTAACACGTTCCGGGGACGTATCAGAAAAATGGACCCACTTTTCTTCAGCATTAACAGCAACAGACTTGGGGGATAACACTGGGCCAAAAATGCTGTCCAGGTCATTGATTGATGGTAGTTTTTCAATTTTGACCTCTGTGGCTGACTGGTCATTTCCTGTGGTTAAAGTAGTTGATTTTACATTTTAATTGAGTTTAATATTATTTGTCAGGAGGGTGGGGTGGGAGGGGTGAGGTCAAGCCTGGTAAGTAGGTTGCCTTTCTAGATGCTTCACTGGGCATATTTCATGATGTAAAAGTATTTTGGCTGAGCTGAAGGGGAGGGGAGAGTTCCCTGCGTCATCTTTCTTTGTGATTATCTGCCCTTCCGCAGGGTGACTCCTGTTAGCTACTTCTACCATCATCGAAAGAGCTGAGAATGCTGTGCTCTCAAGGGCGGTTCCCAAGAGTGCAGAGTGCGATCATTCTGAGGAGGCAGTGCTAGAGTCACCGAAAATACGGGCACGGGACTACAAATGCCAAAAGGGCGGTCCCTTGTGAAAATCTGGCCTCCTGAAATACATGTAATACAGTAAAAAAAAAAAGATAGCCGAAAATCACCCTCATAATTAATGATCTACTCTAGCATACTGAATAAAAATGTTTGGTGAAACTAATTATAATATCTGTTAGTTAAAAAAAAAGCACATAATTAGCTGTATATCTTCCACCTTAAATATACCAGAAACACAGTACAAAGATTATTTAAGGGCTATCTCCACACGTATATCATACACATATACATCCCACACACAACACACACATAGGTTATTGAGAAGACAGTCACTGCTTATTAGAATTGTTACATACATATATACCTATTTCACAGGAAGAAAATTATGAAAACATCTGTATAATTCCTTTTTTCATCAAATCTAGTTGGTTAACGTCAAAGGCATGACTGTGATTATCTATCTATCTATCTATCTATCTATCTATCTATCTATCTATCTATCATCTATCTATTTGAAGTCCCAAGACAGAAAATTATGTTTTGATAAATGTTAATATCAGCTATTCTTTTTCATTCTTATCAGCCATATGAGAAAAAAGTTCAAAACTACCTCCTAGATCTTGGCAGGAAAGATGTGATAACAATTGTAGTGTGAGGAAGTATACTTTTTTTAAAAACTGAGGCTACTCAAATTAAAAATTGTTACCTAAATAATTGCAAGGCACGAGCAGAAGCAACCAGCTTAGTGCTTCCATATTTCACATTTGAAAGGAGTTCACTTCAAGGTTCCAAGGCTACAGATAAATGAGGCAGCAGTTTGCATAGCCCACAATATTTATAATTTCAGGTAAATTTATTTATATGTAACATATTTATGGAGATACAAGGGGCCAAAATGCTTTGCACTTGCAAGCGCCTTTCCTGAAGACACTCTGGATGACTTCCTGTTGGGTTTGAGTCAATATAAATTTCATAAATGACTATGTTTTGCATTTGTTCTTGTTGATAAATATCCCACTCTGTAGCTATCAAACCCACCAGGCTGCAAAAATAGCAAAGGATGATGCATGAAGTTGCAATAGCATTCCCAAGGTGATAAAGAACACATTCTAAAGGCCCAGATACATAAAATAACTATTACTGCTTTTGTCTTGCTAGCCCAATAAAACTAGGTAGATTATAAATTGAACATATAGCATTGATTTCAATAGAAGAACAAGGGTGCCTTAGAAATTATCTGTCTAAAGGCATGCAGCACTTGCTTATTCTATTTCATCATCTTTGCACATCTTTTTGCCATGGGAAGCTAGGTACTTTTATGATTACTAAGAAAAAATTCCCCACCGCCCGCGCTTACCAGTATGCTGCACATCCTGGGAACCATTTCATGTTTTTATAGACTAAACAGTTTTAATTCTGGCAAAAATGTTGTCCGTTCTTGGAAAATTAACAGTTTTGTCTTGAGACTATTAATGTGCATATCATGAAAATGAGATCCAATGAAGTGACATGTCAATTAAATAACGGCTTTCGACATTGAGATTTTTTTCTTTCATTTTACAAGTAAATGCGACCCTCATTCAGCAATAATATACAGAGGAAAAATTAGTTGAGAAAGTGAATCTTTTTGTGAAACTTGAGAGTGATTCTTTAAAATAAGCCCGATTCGTGATAGATTGTAACAGAAGTAAAACTAAACGCAAACATTTTCATGGTTAGTCTAGTCTACAGCTTGCCACACATGATGGGTACATCAAGGCCCGGGGATACTGCTCTGATTGCCACATCATCCTGGAACAGAAAGACTAAAGCTTACCTGGTCCAACTGTGAGGGGGGAGCCTGTTCGGGGTGGGGTGGCTGGTACATTTTTTGGAGGCAGTGGAGGAGGTGCTGCCAAGAGATGAGAAGCCAAGCATTATTGATTACTTTCTCCCTGAGTTACACAATATTCCGTAGCGAAGCAGGATTTAAGCTTTCATTCATATTCTTGCTCCCAGAAATGGAATAGCCATTAATGGTCTAAATATATTTTTAAAAATTCAAAGCTAAGGGATGATGCAGGACCCATTCAGATTCTTCCACTTTATGATAATAAAAATTTGCCAAAAGAATGTCAGATAATAACCATAATAATATTATCATTTTAATAATTCATTACTTTATGACAAACCTCCTATATCTGTACTAGGAACTAGGTACATAGGGTTGAATAAAAGGAGCCTCTGCCCTCAAGGAATTTCTGACTTAATCATTAGGCATTAATGTTAACACAGTTACAATCCAGGGTGTGACCAAGAAAATGAGAACAGCTTGGGTGGGGACTCAGGTGAGAAGTTCTTAACATAGTCAGGATATTATATCCAGTCTTTGGAAATACTGGATCATGTGGCTTTATATGGATTAAGTCTGGAAAATTTTTCTAAGTTTCATGTCTTAAATTTTAGTATATTTTTGAAAGTTTGAAGCAAAATGATTTGAATCAAAGAAGAATGAACACTTTACCTTGGTAAAACTTACAGAAAAAAATACCCTGAAGATAGAAAAGGTATTGTGTAATGGCCCCAATCCTTCTGAACTAGACTTGTCATTTTTGTAGGCAAAATTAGGAATTACTACTTCAACAGTACTTTTGTTTTTATCCTTTCTTTAAATTAATGTTTTCTTGTCATTGGCCATATTTGTTATATCCAAGGAGTTCATTCCACTGCGGTTCTAATCCTTTGAAAATACATCTTTGAAAGTTCAAGGTTAAAAAGTGTTGTTGATTTTTTTTCTGTTTTATAAAGGAAACTAGAGGCTCAGTGCACGGATTCGTGCACCAGTGGGGTCCCTCAGCCTGGCCTGTGCCCTCTCGCAATCTGGGACCCCAAAAAAATTCCCCACCGCCCGAGCTTACCAGTATGCTGCACATCCTGGGAACCATTTCATCCTGGCCCAACATCCCCTGAGGGATGTAGTAGTGCGCAAAACAGCAGGTGGCCAGGGAGGAGCCCAAGTCTGGGCCGGGCACCAGGCCACTCCCACACATACTGGCCCCTGCTATGCCTGCCACTGCTGCTGCTTGGTAGCACTGCACTGAGGCTGGAAAGGCTCATGCTGCTGCAGCTGCTCTTGCCAGCCGTGAGCCTGGCTCCTGGCACCCATGGATAAGCTGAGCAGTGTTCCCACTATGGGAGCATACTGACCACTGGGGGGCAGCTCTTGCATTGAGCGTCTGCCCCCTGGTGGTCAGTGAGCATCACAGCTACCAGTCGAACAGTCACTTGGTTGTTCAGTTGCTTAGGCTTTTATATATATAGACTAGGGGCCCAGTGCACGAAATTCGTGCACTGGGTGTGTGGGGGGAGTGTCCCTCAGCCCAGCCTGCCCCCTCTCACATACTGGGAGCCCTCAGGCGTTGACCCCCATCACCCTCCAATTGCAGGATCGGCCCCTTGCTCAGGCCTGACACCTCTACCAGAGGCGTCAGGCCTGGGCAGGGGACCCTCATTTCCCCCCATCACTGGTTCTGCCCCCACCCCACGCCCGATGCCCCTCGCCCAGGCATCAGGCCTGGGCAGGGGACCCACAGACCCCTCCAATTGCTGGCTCTGCCCTCGGCCCAGGCCTGATGCCTCGGCCAGAGGTGTAGACCCCCATCCCCCTCCGATCGCCTGA